GTGCCTTTAAGCCTTCAGCCTGTATTACCTGTGAGAAATAAGAAAATAAATGATCATTTTTTGTATTTTCTCTTATAAGGGATCCTTCCCACTAGAGGCGACTTTCCAAGACATCATAGAAGCAACCAAACATTTCCATCCTGACTTGAGAATTGCAGAGGGCCACTTCTCTGATATCTACAGAGCACACATGGGTGATCAAATGATCGCAGTTAAGCTTTTTAAACAGGTGATTATTGATTCTAACACTCTGACATCTTGGGAGATGTGCTTGCTTGCTGTTCAACCCATTCCGGCCTTCATGCGTTCTTTATCAATCTTTCTTCAGGTAAAAATGCAGTCCTGGAAAAAACTCTGGGATGTCTTCAGAAAAGAAATGGAAACTCATCTTTTGTATGTAACAACTCGCAAATGACCTTCCTTTATTTATCTGATAGAGAGTTGTTTATTTTTATGAATTGATGTGTTACAGGTACCAACATCCAAACATCCTAGAGTTGTTGTGCTGTGTTTCTAATGAGGACCGCTACTGTGTGCTCTCTCCTTACCTCCCTAATGGATCACTCTTCCACAGATTACACCATCAGGTATGGGTTTTACTTATCAACATCTGTTGGCCTACTGCAGTATGTCCACAAGCAAGTGTGTTTATGTCTGTAACAAAACCACAGAAAAGTTTATAGGTAACAGTTTCACAATCAAAAGCAGGAAGTGAACATGTATCCCCGGGCGCTGTACAATATCTGCCCGGAACAGTGGTTCCTAGTATTAGGATAGGTTAAATGCAGAGGCCAAATGTCACTGTGTGTGCTCTGTGCTCTGCATGTGTGACCATTAAAGAGGGTTTCATCCCTCCCAATTCTATTTTGTTTTCCTATTCTATCCATGGTTGCATTAAATGGTTATAAACCTTACCTCATACAGATAAAGTCAAAGAACATGTATTGAACAGATTTTAAGATCAGCAGATGGATTAATTGACATTTTAGCTTTTAAAATCCCGTCCCAGACTGCCTAAAAGAGGACTGAGACCCACACAGTCTCAAACCACAGTTATTGTTAATTTACTTGAAAGCATATTTTTGTTTTATATTTAATATTGTGTATTGTCACTGTACAGGATGGAGAGCCCCCTCTGTCCTGGCAAGAGCGTCTCAACATCATTAAGGGAACTGCAAAGGCCTTGTATCACCTCCATACAGCCCAGCCCTGCCCGGTGATCTGTGGCAACATCTTCAGGTACACCTCCTGATCACTCAGCGCCACCACATTCTGGCTGTCCTGTTCTCTTCAGAAAAGCATTGTCACTGCGATGTGCAACACTCAACCTGAACATTATATCATTTACAGGATGACCAATTGCTTCAAGCTTAGAAAGAAACAATCTGAGATGTTACGGCCATAATAGAGTGGTGCAGTGCTGACATATTCTTTTAGATAGACCGAATAGATAGCATTGCAGGGACTTCAACACAAATCCAATGGGTTTTTTCCATTGGATTTTGGTATATTGTAGAAAATAAGATCTGTGGCTAACACACATTCATGATACTTACATATTTTGTTCAGCAGGATAATCTTCACATATTAATACCCCTTTTATAATAGTTGAAGCCTAAATGCAATTTCCAACAGTAAATAGCTAACGTTATGCTATAAACAAACTACTGTACATGACAGTCGCATGGCTTCACGTCACCACACCATGTTCGGCAAATCAATCTTTAGTCACGGTTTTTAAGATGACGTAAAGGCTCCTCGTATGGGTACCTTACCGTCTTATTTTGTGATTTAGAACAATAGGTGAACATCTCCTAAGCTTGTATTAACTACAGATGTTATCTCAGGTATCTAACAAAGTTTTCAAAGTGTCCATATGTGTTTTATGCACAGTGCAAACATACTTTTGGATGACACCCTGCAGCCCAAGGTGTCTGACTTTGGGTTGGCCCGCCTCCGTCCTAATTCATCCAATCAGCTCTGTACCATCACTCTGGATACGAAGTCCCACAGCAACCTGGCATACCTACCTGAGGACTACATCCGAGACGGCAAGCTCTCCTCTAGCTTGGATGTTTTCAGCTTTGGGATGGTGATTGTAACTAAATAATATAAGCTCAGCAAAACTTTCTCACCCTGTATGTCAATTAGGATGTCACATAGACATCCTTTGTTGTATCATTATATCTTTGTTGTGACTGTAGTGGATTATGATTTCTGATAGAAACATTATGATTTATTGCCGTTAATTCTCATTTGCATGCCTTCAGGTTATAATGGAAACCGTAACAGGAAGGAAGGTACAAGAGGAAGTACCTAAACAAAAACCACTGGTGAGTCACTGAAGGTAGAATAGAAAGTTCACAGAGTTCTTTAGCCCTCAAAATCCAGGTTGATGTCTTACAATAGTCACTATTTGCAGTATGCAGTAACCTCGTGCTCTCTGTGTCTGCTATGTCAGAGAGAGCTGCTGGTAACGGAGGTGGAGGACAGCGGTGGTGTGGACTCTTGTCTACAGTTTTTGGATGTGGCGGCAGGTCGGTGGCCCACTGACATCGGCCTCGGCCTGCTGCGTCTGGCCCTGGACTGCACGGCGAGTCGACACCGCAGCAGACCAAGCATGGAGACTGTGAGTAATCAAGGATCAATATTTTCTTTAGGAATGTTTAAATAACCAAATAGTCTAAGCTCAAAGGGCTACATGGTTACTTTTAGCGCTTTCCACTGTGTTTCATGGTCTTATTCATGCTGCTAGGGTTATTAAAGCAGGGTTTGGTCAGATTGGGAAGACATCCCAGAGGTTTTTCCAGGACTGCATTTAAAACATTTTTTTAAATAAACTTGGTTTCTCTGTTTATTCTGAAACTTTGGGTATGGAAATTGCCATATTTCAAATATCTAAACTAAAATGTTATCAAGTAATCCCTGACAATGTTACTATAATCTAACTGCACATATTTTTAAATCTTAATAAAAACGACTTATTTTGTGTAATCTGAGTACATAATCCCAACCCATTACTACCCAACCTTCATTTAGGTGAATGTGGATGAGATAAATACTATAAATCTTTACTGTCTTCAGGTTATTTTGGCATTGAGCAAGCTACTTCCTCCACCTAGCTGCCCCCCTGCGGACCAACCCCACAGCCTGGATGATGGAAACCCCCTTAAAACTGAGATGAGCCTTTTATCCTCCATACCTGTAGAGCACGATGAGCAGCTCAGCCTCCCTGGTTCTCTAACACAGGAAGGGCCCAATGAATACAGCCAGTCGGAGGTGACGTTTCTGAGCGACGTGGGGGGGGCTTCTGGTGAGGCGTCGGCTGACCTGTACAGCAGCTGGCCTGTACAGTGCAGCTGCCCTGCTGAGATAGGCGGTCTGCCCTGTGAGGACTGCAGGGCCAATGGCTTCACCCCCAACCACACTGACAGTCCTCAGAGTAAGTTTTGATAAAATCCTACATTACAGATGCCGAATTTGTTACATTTTTGATAACCAAACGAACATATGATCAAATTTGATTATCTATAATGTTCTCAGAGGGGTAAGTCTGCAATACCACATGCTTCCTAAAAGGCTTTCATTAGAAGTGGTCGGCAACCTCCTGGTGGAAAAAGTAAGGCTAATAGGGAAGTGCTTTAAACCTGCATTCTTGATATGGCCAGCAGAGAGAGATTCCATTAGTTGCAAATTAAGTTTGATTGAATAGAAGTCCCCCGCGACCCGACCACGGATAAGCGGAAGAAGATGGATGGATGAATAGAAGTCTATGAGAAAATTACACTAAACTCAAATTTTTCTGATAACTTTATGTCCTCTACGGCTAGTTGCAAGTATTCGTCATTACAGCTCGATGTTATTTTGTATATTATGGTTCCATTTTATAAAATAAACAAAAATAAGCATTTGGGGCGTGGCTACTTTGTTATTGACAAACCACTAGGTCGCTACCACTGCGTTGCTACCACACGTTGTTCAGCCAGCCTAACTAGTATCCAAAATGTTACCACGTGATGAACCTTGCTCCTCCCCAGCCTACACTCTCGTCCAAATATGGCCACTTCTGGTTCCAAAAGACCAAGATGGCAATGACAAAAATGACATACTCGAGGCCTTGAAAGCCTAGTCCAATAACCAATGGGTGATGTCGAGAGGATTGTGTTTACTTCCTTTATACATACCTTCTATGGGAAATTCCCAAAATACTTTACCTGGGTGTGACAGCCATCTTGCCAAGAACATTAAAAACAGCCTTGGATAAAAATACATCTATGTATCTAGGTATGACATACATAGATGTATTGTATGTATTAAAAGTAATCCGTAGCTTTGTTGTGTGTTTCAGGTAACTCTACTGCAGTGGAAACCCCAGCCAAGGAGAGACTGAGGAACAAACTGAGTCTTTATAACAAGGGGCTGATTCACTCAGAGGAACTGTTCTCTGAAACAGGACTGCAGTAAAGAGAGGACTTCCTTTTACATGTCTGATAGCAGCCTGGCTGCCGTCGTAAAATCGATCATGCCAAGCCAATTCAACACCAGTAGGAACACCATCAACATCATATCTAAAAATATAGTTCTTTGGCTTTTCATTGTAAGTGGATCTCTGGGTAGTTAACAGTGGATAGCTGACCTTCTAATTGACAGCCAGTCAGTTCTGTAGTCAGAACCCTTTATGGTGAGTGATATCTGCAATAAACGACGACATGATACTTGTATTATAAAAAATTATAATTTATTATGTTTTTTTTGTCATTGAATCAGTTTGAAATCTTATGGCAAAACATAGACCTAATCAGCTATCATTGCAATAGAAGTGAGGAAAATGTTACATTAGGAATTTGAGAAATTAATAAGTCAATGTGATGGGACGTGAAATAAACAGTGTGACAAAACACATTTTAATCTATGCAAGTGATTGTTGTCAAAAGAAACAACTAGAGCATTTTTTTTTACCATCCATTTACATAAACGTATGAACGTGAACCTCCTGTTTAGATATTCAATTGAACTTTTCGTCGGATAGCTTCTTTGACACTTGAAACGTTTTTGGGAACATCTGATGGGCAGTATTTTATGAAACTCTATCTACCATGCTGCTATTGTTGTGGCTGCTATTAATCAGGTACATACTGTATCAGCACAAAAAGATGTATGTCTCCTCTATTAACATACAAATTAAGTCATTTGGTGGCACAAATGAGTAAATCATGCACTTAAATTAGATTTTTCTGATGATATTTTCGAAAGGAGCAGAAGAAACAAATGATATTCACAGTTCCGTACTGTGAGCATGCAGCAGTGCTTTCTCCTGGATGAGGCTGACAAACTCGTGTTTCTCCAGACAGCCTCGACACTCTTCTCCCCACGAAGCTAAAATGTTCCTCAGCTCCAAGACTTTCATTATTTTCAGCCCGTCGCTGCTCAGATCCTTCACTTGAGGGTCTGCTGACACAGAAACATGCTTTATATTGTGCCAACACACAAGTGAATGGTAAGTGTTTGTTATGCATTTGATAACACTTTACCATATCTGAGCTCACAGATCTGCATGTCTGTGCTGCTGAGGCGCTGGCAGATCTTCTCAACGGGGACGTGAGAGGCCAGAGGTCGAGACACCGATGCTGTGACACGGGTTGCTGCATCAATAGTGGCTCCTAGATAGTAACACTGGGACACGACAGCACATAAACACACGTTTGATCAGCCAAGTACCCTCAGAAATAGCTTTATATTGGTCAATTCTGCAGCTCACATGGGAGTCTGTGCATGTGTGTGTTCTCACCAGCCTCGCCTCCTTGCCCTGGGCGACAGTGCAGGCCTGGATCAGCTCTTCCTCCACCAGGGGAGGAGTGAGTTCTCTGTGGGCCAACGTCAGACTGCCATACAGTCTGGAAAGAAAGTCCACACACACTGCACACCAGTTCATTATTATTATTATGGGGTGAGCGTGCTGCTAATCGATTCTGATTATTTGTGGACAAAAAAACATTTAGCTCTATATTTATACTTATGTACTGTATATTGGAACTAATGTATTGTGAGTGTTTCAATTAAGGGGAAACACTACAGACAAACTGCATGTTTGTTTTTTATATACCGGTACATTTTTGAGAGTTTGGTGCTTCCATATCCAGTCTACTTTCAGACTAGGGGTAAATAAATAATCCAAAATACACATTCAGGTGTTTATTTTACTAACTTTGACAATGTGTGTCTGTACATAGCTATCTTTATATTGAAAGTGATATACAAAAATATATTCAAAATCCCCTCTGTAAAAACCTGACCCTTCCCTGACTCCAATATTTCAACAACACGCATTTTTTATCTGACATAATGAAATGTTAAAATGTCTGATATTTGCAATTTAGCACATAGCTACTTACGGAGCCCCTAAACTTGAAAGGTTCTTGGGATACACTTACAATCTCGTTCACACGAGATACTTTCTTATGGTTAGACACATCGAACTGCTCGATTATTACGCCATATTATTAGTTTTATGAAGAAGATGTCCGGTCGCTAGGGCGTGTGTGTGTGTGTGTGTGTGTGTGTGTGTGTGTGTGTGTGTGTGTGTGTGTGTGTGTGTGTGTGTGTGTGTGTGTGGGCATTTGTTTTCAGAAGATATTAGGATAATGTCGTTCGTTCCGGTGCACTCCGACAGGACTAAACAGCACTACATCGAGATTAAGATTACACGAATTTCTTTCACTTGGAAATACACATACCTATGGAGTTAGCTATGTGTGTAAATTACTGTTCATGGTAATTTGAAAACAAATGCCGGTGACGGACACACACACACACACACACACACACACACACACACACACACACACACACACACACACACACACACACACACACACACACACACACACACACACACACACACACACACACACACACAGTGAAGGCGGTGCGTAAAAGGCGCAGATAATGTCAGAGTCACTGCATGAATTGCAGTGACTCACGAGAAAGTATCTCGTGCGAACGAGAAAGTATATTTTTATGAATTGCCCAATCTGTCCAGACATGCACGGCAGATATACAGGGAGATGTTGACGTCTCAAAAAAGAACCTGTTGGTGATATCAGCACAGTGTAATAGGCCTACTGGTTAACCGTAGTCGCACATAACTTCTGCTCACACCATGCTGTCTAACCTTCACAGTTGCCTGCCGCAGAAAAAGTAAACCCTGTAATAAACAGCAGAGAGACGAAGGGCAGCACCGCCATGACAGCGTTTGAGTTATTATTAGCTTCATGGCGTCCCAGTCAACAACCCTTTCTCGGCTGAACTGCAGCACCAGAGAAACCGGGACTGACGTCATCACATTGTCTTAAACTGGACTAAAATATGATATTTACAGATAATACCAACAGTAAAACTTCATATAAACTGAAAAATAGTCCTATAATAATGCATGCTACGGTTGCTACCTCAAGAGCCATTAAACCGTACACTTAGCCATGTATATTTCTAGAATTTGGGCACACAATAGGCTACTTGATATGCATTGCCCTCAGAGACATTAAAAAAGAAACAAACAGTTTAATTTATAAGCTAGTTATTACCTATATTTAAATTGTTTATGGGTTTTAAACTTCTTCTTAAAGTTATACGCTTTTGTTTTGAAAAGGTTGTGCCGGAAGTGGTTCCTTTAGAAGCGGAACACGAGCCGCATACGCGTGTTGCACATCTTCCAACATGGCTGCCATTGGAGTTCACTTCGGATATACCTGCGCTTGTGTTGCGATATTTAAGGTGAGTTACGCTCAGTTTAACCTTACCGACCTCTCCCACGCTGTCCGTCCTTCTCTGGTTCACAAAATAGTGACACATTTCATCACAACTCTACATTTCAACTGAAATAGCACTGGTTGTTAACATGCTAACACTTTACATACACACGCGATGAATGAAGTCATTCCATGCCTCATAAAGTTAGTCTAAAAAACACAGTTTTAGACATCTGGGAGAATATCCAAAGTCCTTAAATAGTTTTCCCCTCAATAGTAAAACTGAAAAGGCCTTCCTTAAATATAGTCACGGTCCTGGTACCCCTCCAGTACCCGCCCCAAGGCCTCCATAAAGACACATTTAGTTGTATGTACTGTACAATGGGGGGGAAGATACATTTTCTTAAGGTCCATTTATAGTCTTTTAGCTAAAAATACATTTTTGAGACACTGATGAACGTGTGTTTCATAGGATGGGCGTGCTGATGTGGTGGCTAATGATGCAGGAGACAGAGTGACTCCAGCTGTGGTGGGCTACAGAGAGACTGAGCAGGTAAAACATATATTATCTTCAATTTACGTCACTTAATATACAGTTCATAGTGTTTATGTAATCATTGTTGAACTGTTGTGCTCTTTTCAGTATGGCTGTCCTCGACTAAAGAAATTCTAGTTGACTAACACATTACCAGATTATTATTATTACAGTGTGGATTGTAGGTCCTACACATTTTGACTTAAGTCGTCATCTTATTGCTCTGTTTTTATCTTCTGCAGATAGTAGGCATTGCAGCAAAGCAAGGACGGGTCCGCAACGCTGCCAACACAGTTGTCAAAGTGAAACAAGTGCTGGGCAGAAGGTGACATTCTTATTGTGTCTTGTTTGCAAATATTAAAACTACAAGAAGCACATGAGTAGACAGTTATAGCTTTGAAAACGTGTAGAATATATAAAACAAACAATAACATATTCTCTTTCCCCTTAATGGACAGCTTTGATGATCCAGAGACGCAAACTCACAAAACAGAGAACAAGTGTCAGGTGAGTTTGTTAACATATCCACCTAATGTTGTGTATGTAGATGTTTTTTCAAAACTTCTGAAAGGATTCCTTTTAAAACAAAGATGTTCTGCCCTTTATTAACATTCCTTTATTCAGTGCTGTTCATATTGTATCCTTAAATCTTCAGCCAAATGCATGCTGGCTGGTTTTGTCTCTTTGTTTTACTTTTATAAAACATGTTTGGAGCCCACAAAGACTGTCAAAGTAAAGCAGTGATTTCTTTGTTCAGCTGGTCAACAGACAAGACAAGCCTCATTATGAGATCACAGCAGGAGATCGCCCAGTTTATGTGGTTCCACATGATGTCGCAAAACTCATCCTTCATAAAATGAAAGGTATTTTGTCGCAAACACACAGACACATGGCCCAAAGAGAAACAATAAGCTGTTTAATCATTCCTTCTTGTTCTTCACAGAAACGGCTCAGTCAGCTCTGGGCTCTGAAGTCAACGAGGCGGTCATTACCGTGCCCTTCGAGTTTGCACATGCTCAGAAGCGTGCTTTGAGGTAGGCCAAAGGACATTTGACTACAACTGTACTGTTTAGTTGTGAGGAACCCTTTTTAATAAAGACCACCACTGTGTTTGCTGTGTGCAGGGAGGCTGCTGAAGCTGCTGGCTTTCATGTTCTGAGGCTAATCCACGAGCCTGCTGCTGCTCTGTTGGCATATAACATTGGACAGGACTGTTCTGCTGGAAAGAGGTAGAGGACTTAATGGACTCTTTATGAACATAATGTATCCGTTCCAGTCGATTGGCCCTCACATTGTTCTGCACTGTGTTCACAGCCATGTCCTGGTGTATAAGCTGGGTGGGACGTCTCTGAGTGTGACAGTGCTGGAGGTCAACGGAGGAATGTTCCGGGTTCTGGACACCCTCACTGACCACAGCATCGGAGGAGAAAAGATCACTGAGGTTTTGGCTCAGCACCTGGCAGCCGAATTTAAACGGTAGCTACTGTGATTTCTGCTGCTCCTACTCTGTAACTTACTGTTCTCTAACATGCGTTACACATTTATATAGGGCTGCAACTAACAATCATTATTGTTGTTTATTGTGTACTGATTCCAACTTAACTTGTGTATTCGTCAGATAATATCATCTGAGAAATAGGTAAGACTAAAATGACCAAATGATAGGTTTAGCAAGAGTATTGACTGAATTATTTAATATCATATGATCAATAAACACAACATTTGACACATGATTAAGACCGAGACTAAATGGCTAAATTAGAAGAGAAAACATTGGTTTGAATTGATACTAAAAATAGTGAGCATTTTGGTCTAAAGAGTAAGATTAAGTCTAAATGCTGCCAAAGGAACGTTAACCACCTGATGGTTTAGTCTGCGCATCGTTGCAGCTTTACATTTATGTCATACTCTGCAAAAGCATCATTTTACAATGAGTTGCCGGTTTACCAGGTACAGCTGGGCAAAGCTAAAGCCGTCTCATACAACAGCCCTCTAATCAATCCTGCCTGGGTGTTGGTTTCCCTTTATGACCCAAGATCTGGTTTTGTCCCGTATATATGCCTGGTTTATATTTGACTCTTGGTGTCATTTGTCTGTCGTGCAGCACCTTCAAGCACGAGCTGAGCAACAATACTCGGGCGATGATGAAGCTCATGATTGGAGCAGACATGGCCAAGCACAATCTCTCCTCACTGAGCACAGCCAACTGCTTTGTGGACTCCCTGCACGACGGCATCGACTTTGAATGCAACATCTCGCGGTAAGCTGGGAACACAAAGCTGCTCGTAACATCGTACAACACATCATCATGCAGATGACAGAGACACCAAGGATGAAGCACAAAACCTTACAGCGACCAAAGAGGCTGCAGATTTAGAGTGTACGAAGAATAATACAACAAATTGACATTTTACATAAAATGGCAGCCTTTCTAAAACATATTTTGTCATTGTAAAGTTTACATTTAAATGTTTTATGGTGGCCTTTTTTAAAGGACAAAACAAATACAAGATTGAGAGCACAGACATTGTAATCTGCTCGGGAATTAAGTTTTAATAAAAAAAGTTTAAGGAAAGAAATGTACTTGAAAACAAGAAACTGCTGCATATACACTTCTGAACATGAAGGCACCATGGCCTGCTGCATCTGAATCAATGTACCAGAAACAACTGATTAGTTAAAACATGAATCATGATATTTTCCTTCACGAGCAGATTTAGAGTTTAGCCAGATTTATTATAAGTAATACGTGTCAAAGGGAAATATGTGGACAAAGTCAGGGTGGATAAAAAGTGGTAACCAAGACGATAACCTCATTGTGGTGTTTTCTCAGAGCTCGATTTGAGCTGCTCTGCGCGTCACTCTTCAACAAGAGCATCCAGCCAATCAAAGCCCTGATGGAGAAGGTGGGACTCTCCAACAGCGACATTAACCAGGTACAGTGTGAGGGGAAGTCATTTGGGTTTTCATTGAGGAGCTGTGGTTTAAAAACTGCATCCGAGTGGTGCAGGAAAGAGTCCTAACATCCAGGAGTAGGCGTTTTGGCTCTTTAGGTTCCATTGTTTCAAAGTCAGTGGGTGTTTCTCAATCGCGAGGATGCTGGCTTGGTAGTCGCGTACTTCCAAGTCACTTCCTTCAGAAACGAAGCCGGTATGCTTCCAAGCCACGGCTTCGGAAAACAAAGAGGAATGGAACAGGCTAACAAGTGTGCCACTATCTCTTAACGGTTTCAACATAAACTGTACCGAAAATAAATACCTCACGATGTCTATCTAATTATGAACTTGCTTTACACATTTTTGGTGATAACAAACAAATGTAACAAAGTAACATATTTACCATGATATTTACCAACACATGTTCTACGCCACTATACTTACATTTAAATGTGTGCTGCGTCGGTTCAGCCATTCTCCGCAAGGGTTTTTAAAATTGGTCCGTGCGCAAAGCATTGTGGGGATTTTAAGGACGCGAAGTCTACCCATGTGCAGCCTCGAAATGTCCCCCAAACCAAGGACGCTGCCTCGGTAGAATTCCAAGTATGCTGGAGATTGGAACAGTCCTTCGGCGGCACTCGATGACGTAGCATCCTTGAAATATTGGCTTGGAAGCCAGAATCCTCGAGATTGAGAAACGGCCAGTGTGTTTGGTTTGATGCCTGAAATGAAGTCTGTGGTTAACACAAGTTTAGGGAGATGTAAACGTGGTCTCTACTAAATGAATAAAAAGACAAGTTTACTCCTTTAACGTTAGCTTTCTCCTCCTGGCTATTGCATTTACGCTTCAAAAATCATTAAAGTGGTATTAACATGTGACGATTATACTCCTTAACGAACAGATCTTTTAATCTGCAATTTTCCAAAATCCAAAGGAAACATCCCATTGGCTTTTAATCGAGTGAGCCCTTGCAATGCTTACTCCCGGGTCGGCCTACAAAATACGTCTCTCCACTAGATCTCTCTATTATAGGAATGGTGTGGATGAGAGTGATCCTTATTTGTATAGTTAATACATGTGACTTCAAGCACATCAAATCCTGAAATACCTCAGTAATCATTTTAGATAATATCATTTATAAATGTATTTCAGGTGGTTCTCTGCGGCGGCTCAGCCAGGATCCCTCGCCTCCAGCAGATGATCCGCGACATGTTTCCTGATGTGGAGATGCTCAACTCAGCGCCTCCTGATGAGGTCATCGCTGTGGGAGCGGCTCTGGAAGCGGGCTTACTAGTCGGCAAAGAAGGCCTCGCCCCCGAGGAAGAGACTGTCACAGTGGACGTTTCTGCCACTGATATTCTAGTGAAGGTACACTGTTCGATGAAAACACACCATATGTAAGGCAAGGCAAGGCAAGTTTATTTATATAGCACTTTTCAACACAAGGCAATTCAAAGTACTTTACAAAAAATGAAAGAGATTAAGAAAATGGCATTTAAAATCAGTCATTAAAAAGAAAAGCTAATCAAATAAACATTAAAAGAAAAAATACATGGATAAAAGTTACAGTGCAGTCTAAGATATGAATAGTTCAATTAAAAGCAGCGACAAAAAGAAAAGTCTTCAGCCTGGATTTAAAAGTAGTCAGAGTTGCAGCGGACCTGCAGGTTTCTGGGAGTTTGTTCCAGATATTTGGAGCATAATAACTGAACGCTGCTTTACCATGTTTAGTTCTGACTCTGGGGACAGAAAGCTGACCATATGTAGGGTATATGAATAGATTTTGTCTATAAACGTAAATCTTAAATGTCTATTTCTGTATCGTACTCTATTTAATTAATCTGCGGCTTGATGTTGCAGGAGGTGGATGAATCCGGAGCGGAGGTGTTCACTGTTCTGCTCCCATCGGGCACTCCCCTCCCCGCCCGCAGACAACACGTCCTGACTGGAGGGGGGGAACTCTCCTCTGTGAGTCTGGAGATTTACCAGAGAAGTCTCAAGGAGCAGCCAGAAAAAATAGCAAAGGTACAAACGGCACTAACACTATAGAGTGCCACAGTGACGCGCGTCCTAAAACCTATAAATACTTTTCTAATTTTCTAATCATAAATCTATTTCGAAAAAAATTATAAAAGTAGGGAAGACATGTGGATATTATCCGGCTGAACAAAACGTGATCTGTCTCTTCAATTTGTGTCAACCACAGACCTTATTTCAAGCTATTTTCCAAAGTCCTATGGAGAAATTGCATTGGTTTGTCGAAGCAACCGGAAGTGGTAAAATGCTAACTTACTTCCGGGTTGTAGGACACATCACTGTGGCTCTCTGTAGAATGTTAAAGGAGCAGTTTGAAGATGGGTTGTATGAGCTACGTATCCAAAGTCAGTGTATTGTCTACAGTACATGGTCGGCACGTATACCAGTGCAGAAGTGAAGTCTGCAGGAGCTATGATTTAGATTGTGGTGTTTTGTTGGTGCTAACCTTGCCTATGCATTTCAATTGTTCATTTAAATTTGCGCTATTAGTTTTGTTTGTTGTATATGTCTGAGAAATTGAGTATGGAATGCGAAGAGTGCCACTATTTTAAGTTAAAAAAAAAACATTCTTAAGTCGACAATAGGAGTTTATTTTGTTTAAAACTGCCTGTTTTTCACTTAAGAACGTGTTGGAATAGTGGCAAATTGTGACACTGTTTCGCATTTCAGTTATGTTAGCATGTTAGCACAGCATTGTTCAATCTTGTGTTCCTGTAGCCTAGTAAGCTAGTTGTTATTCTTTGTTGCATACGTTTTTTGATGCGCAAAACGCTGAATGGAAATAAACAGTTTATCTTCTTGTGTGTACAATGTATAGATCGTCTTGAGGAACCTGCAGCCCAAAGAGGATAAACACGACATCGACACCGTGGTAACCATGAAAAGGTATCCACCCCCCCAGGATCACAGCACAGGTCACATGACGAGATTGTTTGTATGATATAATAATAATATGATTTGTGTTTGTTGCAGGGACGGCTCCGTCCATGTGTCCTGTGTAGAACAGAGCAGCGGGAGACCAGAGGTCGTCACCATAGCAGCCGCATCATGAAGCTGCACACACTCAGTGCAATGATTAGTTTTGTTTTTCTTACCTAATAAACATAATGAATCCCAAACTATATGCTCAGATTTATTACCTTTTGGATTTCTGTGGAAAAATTAAAATTAATTAACTATGCTCACAGACATGAGAATAACTGTTCAATTCTGCTCGTGAACAATTTTTTAAAATTATTATTTAGTTGTTTTAAGTATATCTTCTGTACATTTAGAATTCAAGGTTTCTGCACACCTCAAGTGTTAATGAGGGAAGACTCCATGCATTCATTGCACATTTTCATTTTTATATTAATACAATGCTTTCATTCCCATATAGATTGAAAAAAGGAGTTGTTGGCTTATGTAGTGAAATAATCACCTTCTAACAATTACTCTTCCAGCGTATATATGGCACATATTACATAACGGAGCGTTCTAAAAAAAAAAAGCTAGCTGAACAATCAACTAGCAGTCAACAGAGCATCATAGTTGTATCAGTCATAGTTGTATCAGGTTGAGAAATGCAGAGTATTGCAATTTTAGTGTGACAACATAAATCTCTTTCCCAGTGCCTCTGTGGAACAGACACAAATAAAACCTTTTTTTTAAAATAGTATTTATATATTTAAGAACAATGCCAGCATAACATCCATTCCATCCTGTCCATACATAACTCAAATAACAATACCAGGCATGAAGTGGAGGGCGGGCAGAGTCTTTAGGTCTCAGTTTAATAATAGGCGTGAACATCAGTAAACATTCTGCAGATAAAAAACAAGCATATCCATTCAAACGTGTTGATATTCCTGAAGTTAAACACATTGTTTTCCCAGCCTCCTAGCAACCATGATTGGGAACTATGCGACACTTGAGGATCTTCAGGTAGTTCTGGACCTTGTTGGAGTCTCGGCGAAAGCAGTAGAGCAGGTCATAGTCTTTCATCAGCCGCCAATCGGCACTGTCCGATGGCAACAAAACCTCGGGAGAAGCCAGGCTGGTGACAGAGTTACTAATTATCCCCAGCACCTGCATCTGGAGAGGGCACATGCACACATCAGCTTTTTATTCACCCTGATTGATTACAAAATAATAGAAACACCCGCTATTTATTCATTCCTGTCACCCATTTGGATTACAATTCTAAAATAGTTCTCACAAAATAAACAATACAATGTAATGACAGCAAAGCACACTCATAAAGTATGTTCATTCATTAATTAGTTGGTTGATTGATTGATTGAGTTGAAAACATCAATGTTTCTCATTAAGTTTATATTATACCCTTGGTTGGGAGGGTTACTATAAAAAATGTATTCTATCACAAATACTAATTACCTTGAAAAATTTAGTAAGTAATCAATCAATTCATCACGTCTTCAAAATAACCTAATTACCTTTCATTACTTTTTCACGACTTCAATATCAAATATTCAAATAAATACAAGAGAAAATAAAGATCAATACAGCAAAGCATACTCATACAGTTTACCCCTGGGAGTAATACAATATTGTTGATTGGTTGGTTAGTTGGTTGTTGATTGCAAAAAAATCAATGTTACTCATTGAGTTTATACAAATGTATTCCGTCACAAATACTAATTACCTGTTAAAAAATGGAGCCACTAACCTAATCTATTCATCACGTCTTTCAGGTAGCATAATTCCTTTTGATTACTTCAATAATATCAAATATTCAAATAAATCCAAGAGAAAATAAATATCAATAATGACTACGTCTTTCTGCAACTGTAAGGAAATACAGTTACCTTTCATTGTAGTCATATTCCTGTTACATGTATTTCGTTACTTCCCGAGAATGATTATTATATTGTGATCTGAAGACATACGTTATGTCATCGTTATGTTATGTTATCGGTTGGTTATTCTGGCGTGAGAGATGTGGCAGGCAGTGTGCCCAACGTTTGGTCTCTTCCTTTCTTGCTTGAGGCTGAATGTTTAGTCTGAACAAAAGGTCACCCGAGGGTGAACTGTACAGTTTGGATTTGACGCATGACATCATGAATCACAACCTGAGACCCAGACCGCTCCAAGCACAACCACACAAATGATGGCATTTTGAGCACCATTTAATTAAACTGTTGACATCTACACTTTAACTGCTAATGTAAACAACCTCCCATATCTTCTCCCTTTTACAAGACATACAGTACCTTCTCGGCCACTTTCTCCACACCTTGGCGTAGCTCATGCACCATGTCATTCATCTCGAGAGCTTTGTTGGAGCTGAAGTTGTTGAAGTCGTGGTGGTGAGCCATGCTCTGATGGAAATGCCACAAAGGATCCCTCCATGCAATCAGGAGCTTCAGAATCACCTCCGTCAGCTGCTCTCTCTGCAGGGACAACAGCACAGGCATCAGTGAATATTTGAAGTCGTGACAGTTAGAATTAAGTGTATATCGGTAGCAATACTTTTTGGTTAACTGGGGAAAAACCCTGTGTTCTATAAGAGACTAAATCAAGAGAAAGGAAAACTGCAAACATGATGTGGACAGCACATGCCGACTACAGGAAATAGCTTTTATAAAGGTTACTTTACCGCCATTCTCTGAGCGTTCTCCTTGCCATTTGGCGTGATGATGGTAGAGGTGTGACAGATGCGACCCACACGGCCAATTTGATTCTTACTGGGCAGGAAGTACTGCTCCTGACAAGACGAACATGAATGCAAGTGCAACATGTCAGAGGTCATCTTAATGTCAAATGTGGCTACAGAAAATAAAAATAGATGAATGGAATAGTAGAATGGCTTGCAATTGATGATAATCACAAATGGCTATTGAAAATGAATGTGTGTGTAAACTTAATTTATGATTACTTATTTTGTCCATCCTTTTTATATTAATCAGGGTAGGGTGAATAATACAATCTCTTTCAGTATACAACACAATTATTTAACTGAACATTAGCCTTAATGAGGACTATTATATTGGACTACATTAGGTTTACCCAATAAGCCATCTACTTATTTTATATAGTGTCCTATTGAGACTTAAGTATCCTGTTACAACATCGTATCACTTAAACGTTTAAAACACAATTTGATAAGCTTTGTCAGACAATGAGGAGCACGCATGAGGAGACTTACAAACTCGGAGTGAAGGTCACTTGAAATGCCGTGCATCCTGGCTGAGTGTTGGATGACCCGGTCAAACAGGTTATCCAGAGAGAGGACGTGGCATCCAACCTGGCCATTTGTACAGATGGGTGCTGCACCCACGCTGGTCCGTCTGCTGGACAGACACACCAACAAAACCACCCACACAAGAGACACTGTAGGAGAACGACCAAGGGAAGAAAAAAGATACAATATAAAACCATGAAGACTGAGAAAAAGTCATGTCTTTTCCTTTGAAAGAAAGTGTGTATGTTTGTATGAGATGTCCTAAGGAGTGTGTTTTTCAAGGATGAAAACTCTAAAAGAGAATGAGTTAAAGAGATATAATCATAATGGAGTAGTACAAATGGAAAGGTGAAAAGGAAAAGTATATGATGACATGCAAAGAGAGACAGCTAATAATCTTTATTCAAAATAACTACCTGATCTGATGGTTCCAGGCATCCTGAAGGACGTCCCGTCTCAGAGCTGATGGCGGAGAAGCTTTTCTTCATATGAGGGTCCCTCACTGACCATTTCCCTTTTTCACTTTCATATCAAAGAGAAAAAGAGAGGGGGGGGGTTGTCTTGTCATCCTGTATGTGTGTGTGTTTCTGTGTGTGTCTATCATGATAGAGTAACCTCAGGCAGTCTTGAAGAGCGATCGCATCATCAACCTAGGACGTCATTCCAACAGCCACACTGGAATTCCTGTCCTACCTATTATTAATATCTGTATGTCACCCAGCTACAGAAAATGAGTAAACCAATGTCATGTCGAAAATATGATAAATGACTTCAGAATTGTATGTTAAACAGGACTCAGATTTGTAATCACTTGGATTTCTTTTTATTGATCAGACAGTTATTATTTTTAGTGTGAGGAAATAATTTGCCCTGCATGTCCTCTTTCGTCCCTCTGACGATGATGCTCAGCCTTGGGCAGCATGCTATCTCCCTTAAGGAGGGGCTGCCCTAGCATTTTGCTGTTGTTTCCAGTTTATGACCGGGTAACTCTCTGTCAGAGATAGTTATTGTTTTGGGACACCTGGAACACATCCTTCTCGGGGTGTGTAGATGACCCCGAGTTATAAGCGACAACAAATGAGATTCAGTGTCCCTTAGCTGTTTAGTCTATTACATTACATGTCATTCGTTAGACGCTTTTACCCAAAGCGACTCATTCAGTACTGTGGACAATCCCCACAGGAGCATTTTGGGGTGAAGTGTCTTGCCCAGGGACACAACAACATGCTGACTGCAGTGGGACTCCAACTTGCTATCCCCTGATTCAAAGTCCAGCACACTATCCACTGAGCCACAGCCTCACTATCTATTGAAGAATGTAGACTCTGAACTAGTTAAAACGTCAAACTACATAAGGGTTCTTCAGAATTGATTGTGGCATCTCAACCGTGTGGTCGACCCCGTGACATTTCTTGTGAATTCTCTGGCCGAAGCTCTAAATAAACCGTCAGTGTTTGCCATCAAAGCTCCAGCTCTCCTCGTGTCTCTCTGAGTCCTGTCTCCAATTGCTTCAGAAGTTTCCCCCACATTTAGTATAAATTGTTTTCCAAAGCTGTAGATTATTTGTTTGATACTTTTTCAAAATAGGAGTTCATACTAGTGTCATATCATCTGTCCTTACTGTTATAAAAAGACATTGTGAAGTACAGAAGGGTGTTGTGTTTCGTACAGCCACTATTTACTTTGTCAAGGATTACATCTTCATAGTCACAATGTTAAATGGATCAGTTTGGCTTTTTACTCGGAAAATTACCTTTCTAAAGCCACAGGACACTTACTGTTAGGATCTGTTTTCTTGCATTTTTGGTTTTGTGCTATATTTCGTAAAACCCTCTCCTTGCTGTGTCTTGTTTCACTTCAGAGCTATCCCGCCTTTTTGTGATAGTTTGCTCCTCGCTGGTTTTCCTTCTTTGTGTTCCCTGTGGATTTGCTGTCCTTGTTCTTGGTGTCATCCTGGCAAACAATCACAAAATAAAAGAGGGAACAGAAAATTCAAAAAAACAAAATGGTGACACTTAGAATGACCAAATCTCTACTTAATCCAATCCAATCCATTTTATTTCTATAGCACATTTAAAAACAACAGAGTTGAACAAAGTGCCGTACATCAACAACTGTATAAAAACATAGCATAAATACATAAAAAACAGACAGGACATGAAACAAATGTAAAACACGAGACAATGAAACCAGATCAGAAGCCACAGACTGAGAAACTCTCCTACATGACGTAAAAACAATACAAAACACTAGTAAGATAAAAACCCAAATTTAAAAGCACAAGTGTCACCTGGCCTGTAAATGCCAGGGAAAAGAAGTGGGTTTTTAAACGAGATTTAAAAACAGGCAGAGTTGGAGCAAGTCTAACCTGGAGGGGCAATTCGTTCCATAATTTTGGAGCTGCAACAGCAAAGGCTCCGTCTCCTCGCTGCTTCAACCTCGATTTAGGGACGACCAGAAGTAATCTGTCAGCCGACCTCAGTGACCGTGTGGGTGTGTATGGTTTTAAAAGATCTGTGGGGCTAAACCGTTTAGGGCTTTGTATGCGAACAGTAACATTTTAAATTGTATTCTAAAACTGACTGGTAGCCAGTGTAAAGAGGTGAGTCACCACTGGGTCCAAATATTATCACCTCGGTCTTTTTTTCATTGAATTTTAAAAAGTTCAAGGCCATCCAGGCTCTGATGTCCTGCAGACAGTCAGACAGACGTTGCTGAGGGTTTGGGTAATTTATTTTCAGGGGCATGTAGATTTGCGAGTCATCTGCATAAAAATGAAATGAAAGTTAAAGCGCTGTATTTTAGCCAATGAGATGGAAATAAGAGTTCGGTATACATAATGTACAAAGTTGGCCTTGGACCTGTACACATGTTCATGTTTATTTGCCCAGGCTTATGCGTCTAATCATTGACCATGGACCAATCACAACCTCATATCAAATATTTGTGTGTTTAAGAAATGTCAGTTTTTTAGACTCAGTTGACTTTTTTATTTTTGTAGGAACGTTTACTTTCATTTTATTTTTGGGTTTTCTTTTGTTTTTGATTCTAAATTAATGAATTGTCTTGGAGCATGAATGTTTGTGCCAAATCCACAGCATCATCGCGATGTAACCAACAGTTGTCAAGGTGTTGCCCTAAACAAAGCATTAGACGGAGGCCTGAGGCTGGATGCAGAAACCAATTGACATTGCGTATCCTAGCCTTACCTAATGGTTCATTTACCCATTGCCTTTAATACTGTCATCTCATTGAGAATCCTACACAGCACATGTTACTGTCATAAAAATGCATTGAGGGAAGAAGAACTTTGAAATGTAATGGACCCGACAATGGAGAGACTTTTACACAGACAGCCTTTTAGGGGAACCCAAACACACCACGACATCCGGCATGTGTCAGAGGTCGTTCATTGACGTCACCACTGTACAAATTAGTTAGCATCTCCAACTCGCACTTACACACATTTGTGTGCATAGTCCATTGGTCCTCTTTCATTCACTGAATTACTCTGATAGTAAATAGTAGAAAGTAGATAGTAGATATGTATAGTCATTCACTGGTATTATAAACATATTACTAAAATGTGTGTGTGGATAGACATTAACTGGATTCTGTTATCAAAGGTTAAAGGTTTCAGTAGGTAATATTGGGAATACAAACTATCTTCTCATACATTGCATAAAGTTACCTTGTTATCACACAAAACAGACCTGTTTGCAATAAGAATACTTTCTTGCTGTCACGATTCTCATGTCATGTCACATTTCTATGTCTAGGTTTGGGTGTTTTTGCTGTTCTCTCTGTCATGTTTTCCTCCTGAGTTATTGTCTGGTCCTTTTCCCTGTGTTTTTCCTCCTGTCGTTAGTTTCCCTGGTGTGTCTAGTTATCTGATTGTGTTCACCTGTGGCCCTTGTGTTTCTCCTCCCCTGCCCGGCTGTTTCTCGTCTTGTGATTACCCCTCCCTGTATTTAGTCTCTTCCTGTGTTCAGTGTTGGTGCTTCTTTTGTTTGTGACCTAGTTCACCGGAGAGTGTTTTGTCTGTCCAAGTATAATTAAGTCCTTGAAATAAAGTTGTTATCAAGTGCTATCTGCGTTTGGGACCTACCTGCTTCACTCTGCGTATCAGAAAGCACCAACCAAGAAATGGGCCCAGCAGATCCGTTCGAGCTGGAATTATTGAATTTTTCCTTTTTTTTGGCTAACTGCTCGGATCGATGGAAGAGAGCACCCGGAGTTCAGCAGCGAGAGGCTGTGTTGTCGGAGGCGCGCCAGATGGCTAGAGAGAAACCAGGTTTGGTGAAGTTCTTACCTGGCTGGATTTCAAAGATCCTCCCGGTGTGTGATTCCCGGCCTGCTAGCCCCAGGCATGCTAGCTCCCTGTCTCCCAATTCCCAACCTGGTACCCTACGCCTCGGTGGGTTCTGTCTGAAATCAACCCATGCTTCTGCCCCAGTTCCTACTCCTGTCCAGGAGTCGTATTCTGGAACTCGTCTGGCTTATGGAGGTCCACGGAGTATTCAGGCGGCTGCTAAGAGAAGGAGTCGCAAGGCCAAGCCAGCAGCCCGAGCCCCAAGAGCCATGGTTCCAGCCCCAGTCCTGGCCCCAGCAACCATGGTTCCAGCCCTGTTTCTGGCCCCAGCAGCCATGGTTCGGGCTCCAGTACAGGCCCCAGAAGCCATGGTTCCGGCAACAGAACCGGCCGACACAGCCATGGTTCCGGCCTCAGTTCCGGCCCCAGCAGCCATGGTTCCGGCTTCAGTACCGGCCCCAGAAGCCATGGGCCCGACTCCAGTTTCGGCTACAGGGCTGGCTTCCCAGCCGACGCCAGCTCCCCGAGTCTTGTCGGCGTACCGGCCGACTCCAGCACCTCGTCTCCTGCTGGCTCCCCAGCCGACGCCAGCTCCCCGAGTCTTGTCGGCGTACCGGCCGACTCCAGCATCTCGTCTCCTGCTGGCTCTCCAGCCGACGCCAGCTCCCCGTGTCCTGTCGGCGTACTGACCGACACAAGTTCCTTCTCAAGACCCTTCTCAAGACCCCTCTCAAGTCCCCTCTCAAGTCTCCTCTCGACTTCCCTCTCAAGTTCCTTCTCAAGTCCCCCCTCAAGTCTCCTCTCCAGTTCCCTCTCAAGTCTCCTCTCGAGCTACCTCTCGAGTCACCTCTCAAGTCACCCCTCAAGTCCCCTCTCGAGTCTCCTCTCGAGTTCCCTCTCAAGTCCCCTCTCAAGTTCCTACCCGAGTCCCCTCTCAAGTTTCCTCTCAGGTCCCCTTTCGAGTCTCTTCTCGAGTCTCCTCTCGGGTTCCCTCTCAAGTCTCCTCTTGAGTTCCCTCTCAGGTCCCCTCTCGAGTCTCTTCTCGAGTCCCCTCTCGAGTTCCCTCTCAGGTCCCCTCTCAAGTCTCTTCTCGAGTCCCCTCTCGAGTTCCCTCTCAAGTCATCTCTCGAGTTCCCTCTCAAGTCACCGCTCGAGTTCCCTCTCAAGTCTCCTCTCGAGTTACCTCTCAAATCTCCTCTCGAGTTACCTCTCAAGTTCCCTCTCGAGTCCCCTCTCAAGTCTCTTCTCAAGTCCCCTCTCAAGTCTCTTCTCAAGTCCCCTCTCGAGTCACCTCTCGAGTTCCTATTCAAGACACTTCTCAAGTCACCTCTCGAGTTCCCTCTCGAGTCACCTCTCGAGTCTCCTCTCGAGTCCCCTCTCGAGTCACCTCTCGAGTCTCCGATCAAGTTCCCTCTCGAGATTCCACTCAAGTCACCTCTCAAGTTTCCTCTCGAGTTCCCTCTCAAGCCCTCTCTCGAGTTCCCACTCAAGTCCCTACTCAAGTGTCGTTGGAGGTTCCGCTGGGGGTCCTGCCAACTCTATGTCCTGTGCCGTTGGAGGCCCCGCCGACTACTCTTCTGCCGGGGGTCCTGCCATCTCTATGTCCTGTGCCGTTGGAGGCCCCGCCGACTACTCTTCTGCCGGGGGTCCTGCCATTCCTATGTCCTGTGCCGTTGGAGGCCCTGCCGACTACTCTCCTCTCAGGGGTCCTGCCAACCCTGTGTCCTGTCCCGTTGGAGGCCCCGCCGACTACTCTTCTGCCGGGGGTCCTGCCAACCCTAAGTCCTGTGCCGTTGGAGGCCCCGCCGACTACTCTTCTGCCGGGGGTCCTGCCAACCCTGTGTCCTGTGCCGTTGGAGGCCCCCGCCGACTACTCTTCTGCCGGGGGTCCTGCCAACCCTGTGTCCTGTGCCGTTGGAGGCCCCGCCGACTACTCTTCTGCCGGGGGTCCTGCCAGTCCTATGTCCTGTGCCGTTGGAGGTCCCGCTGACTACTCTTCTGCCGGGGGGTCCTGCCGGCCCTGTGTCCTGTTCCGTTGGGGGTCCCGCAGACTACTCTTCTACCGGGGTCCTGCCAACCCTATGTCCTGTGCCGTTGGAGGTTCTGCCGACTGCGGTGGTCTTCGCCCCTCCTCGAACTCTGCCTTGCCCCCGGGCCGTCCGCCCGAGACCCCCTCCTCGAACTCTGCCTTGCCCCCGGGCCGTCCGCCCGAGACCCCCTCCTCGAACTCTGCCTTGCCCCCGGGCCGTCCGCCCGAGACCCCCTCTTCGAAATCTGCCTTGCCCTGGGCTGTCAGCCAAGGCCCGTCCTCCGGACCCCTTCCACCCACCCTGCTGGATATTGTTAGATTTTTATTTTGGTGTTTAGGGACATCTAGAATCCGTCCCTTGAGGAGGGGTTTCTGTCACGATTCTCATGTCATGTCACATTTCTATGTCTAGGTTTGGGTGTTTTTGCTGTTCTCTCTGTCAAGTTTTCCTCCTGGGTTTTTGTCTGGTCCTTTTCCCTGTGTTTTTCCTCCCGTCGTTAGTTTCCCTGGTGTGTCTAGTTATCTGATTGTGTTCACCTGTGGCCCTTGTGTTTCTCCTCCCCTGCCCGGCTGTTTCTCGTCTTGTGATTACCCCTCCCTGTATTTAATCTTGTCTCTTCCTGTGTTCAGTGTTAGTGCTTCTTTTGTTTGTGACCTAGTTCACCGTAGAGTGTTTTGTCTGTCCAAGTATAATTAAATCCTGGAAATAAAGGTGTTATCAAGTGCTATCTGCGTTTGGGTCCTACCTGATTCATTCTGCGTATCACTTGCCCTAAAGAGAAAAGGTTAGTTTTGGGCAAACACATCAATACATAGACACATGTGTTTCACTCAAGGAAAGTTTTAGTGATGACGAGAGGCTGAGACACAACGTGACTGCTGCACGGTCTGGAACATAGTGTTGTTGGGCAGATGGTCTTGTGTTGTCATATTCAGACTGACCTGCAGAGTAACAGGGTGATTGTTACAGTCGTGCATGCCCACGGCTTAAAATCCTCACAGGCGATGGCCTTTCACTCCATTTCTACGACGCATGCTTCGTCTGTGATGACTGACCTCAAACTGAACCTTCCTCATTATTTTAATCATCGGGTTTCTTTAGAAAGTTGGTCCCCTCATAGTCTAATCAGCAATATCAAAC